CCGTAGAATCGTCCTTTCTTACTTTGATGGCAGGATTGTGTGGCACAAATATTTTCATGCGATAATAATCACCGAAATAGATGAAGACCATTCTTTTTTTGAAACTGACTGCTCTTTTTCATATCCTAGCAGAAAACCGGAAAACCAACCAACGAATGGGTCAATGAACCATCATTTGCATGCTGTGGTGAGCGCTAAATTCACGTCTGTCTGGCTAAAAACATTTTGGAGTTTGCACTCAGAGGTCAGTGAGAAGAATTTGTAACAGAATAACGACTGGTAATCATGAGTTTATTCGACCATCTGCAGTTGGTATCCACATCTTATACGTTAGATTACAGTGGATATCAATTTAATCCAACGCATTCTGTGCCCTAAGTGTGTTAAGTCAATGGTTAACCAATCCACTTGTCGTCTTGCCACACATTGAAATGGAGTTCACGATGGTCATGCAGGCTCTTTCTCAAATACTATTGCAGATCCATGGGGCTAGCACTGTAGCAACGCATTTCCAGGACCAATTCACTAAAGTACGTGTAGTCACAGGTACTCAGATTTAGGACACTCAATTCACAGAACTACCTTCTTGCCAAGATTCACAGTTCCCCATCCTACGGGCGAATGGCGAAAGGGTTACTAGATGAGGAATATAATATACATTTCTCCTCATCATTACCATTGTTGATACCCTTTGGTTTTTCCTCAACAATGCTGACCGAGTAACCGTCCACACTAAACAGTGATCAAGCCGAGTTGCGTAAATTTATCCAAGTCCTACACCACCCAGTCTTTTGCCATGCTAAGACTCGTGCAGATGATGGCAAGTGCGCCAACAAACTTGGCCGGGATAATCTAAGTAAAGAATCGCGATGTGAATAATAAAACTCACAAGGGGATTTACATTTCTTCTAACATCATACACAAAGTTAAGCTGTTCCATAATTCTACTAATGGCTCTTAAAGGCGTATTAGCGAATTCTATCCAGGGTATCGGAAAAGGTGGGATCAGTTTTCCCAAGAAATTGCTAGCACTATAGTTTGGATTACTGCCCATGAGATTAAAACGAGGAGTTGGAACCGCCTCTTTTGCAAGCCAAGGCAAATAACTGAGTAGGTGAAGGCACAAATATGCGGAACTGTGACCGCCAAGGAAATTCCATCGTTGTTTATGAGGTTTCATGACTCAGAGAATCCACTTCGTTTTACTAGCTCAAAGACGAAAAGACGGTAGAAGTGTTTCATCGAACAGCCAAATATTTCATGCGGGAAAATGTATAAGTTAGGCACTATGAAGTTCTGCAAACAACCTGCACAATAAATTTGCTCCGGGAAGTATTTACTTTGCACTAAAATACGGGAGTTTGCAGTCCTAGTCAGGTGTTGGATTCATTGGAGGAGATACAGCACCACGTAAATGACGATATTTTATCATACATATTGATTTATACAGAGCAGGAATCTTAAGATAACTATGCTATCTTCCTTGGAAGTGAAGCCTTTGTGCATCTAAGGTTTCTTTACCATGAAGAGGCAGGGGTAATCTTCCTGATAACCCTTATCCACATCCACGCCTTTCAAAACTGCCTTTCATCCTTCCGAGGATTCTGTATTTACCGGCACCTCTCCGTCCAACTGTGCCTTCCTTTAAATGAGTACCTCGAATGCTGGTGATGCGATCGTTTCGATATGCATGTTTTATTGCTTGGTCTGCACTTTGACACTTTTAACCACAGCCTATCTGACTCACATGGCTCAGGTCACGATAATAAGAACCATATTTTAACGGGTGGAGACAATGAAATAAACCGCGACTTGGAGGCTTGTGAAAGTGGAACGCATTCACGCACAGCAATTATTTCTCTTTCTTTTGTAAGGCGTTTATGCCACACCCAACTCGAATGACTCCACTCAATGACTTATAAGCGTTGAAGTAGGCATCATACGAATCACATGGTGATCAGGAATCGCATTCAAATGCAAATGTGTTTGGTTGGTGAAGCAAATTGGAGTCGATAAAGTGGCCTGCCTGGAATTTGGAAGAATGAGCAATATGTATGAATGAGATCAAAAAGTAAATTGTGATTTAAAGCACAATTAGACGTGTGGATGTAGGCAAGTGGGTGAAGAAGAACAAAGGTGTAATTAAAATGTTCAGTAGCAATGAACAACCATATTTAGTGCAATTTTGTACAGTCGAAGTAATTACCCCATCGTACGACTTAGCTTAATTAAAGAGTTAAGAGGCTACTTTGTCTGGCTACCTGGTTTTCACCGATGATCGGCTTCTTTATTGCATGGAAATGTGCGCTTTATACGTGTTTGGGCAACCGCTTCTTTTTCCAGACATGCTACTAATGGGTAGCCAGTAGTGATAGACTTTACAATCCGACTTTGCACTGACCCGCCTTATGATAGAAAAACTGTTTTCCATTCAATGTATCATGTAAAACTACCAAGTTGAGCTTAGAATTTCCCCATTATATCAGCGTTTGAGACTTTCTGAAACACACACCAACCCAGTGGATTATGAAGTGGAGTCAGTGGTTCCATTTCT